GAGCGCGACAAACTCATCTTCCTGGCACAAGTGACCTTTCAGGTGACGTGAGCCCTCCCCATGCAGCCCCCAGGCTCGTGGGAAATGCAGGTTATGGCTGCCCCAGCCGCTGTGAGTTGGAACCTGCATTTCAGCGAGACCCCCGCCTGGCCCGTGAAGGGCTGGGCAGGCCTGTGTGCACTGTGCCGGGGCCGTCCTGAGTCAAGCCTGGGCAAGCAGGCAAGGCGTCCGAGGGGAGGTTTCCCCTTTTTGTTTTGAAAACGTTAGGTGGGGGTTGTACGGGTGACAGGCCTCACCTTCAGTGTTCCATCATGTCAGGCAGAAGCATTTCCAGACATCTGTTATCAGAATAAAACCAAACTCACTGCCATTGAGTCAATTCCAACTCATAACAACCTACATTGGGTTTCCCAGGCTGTAAATCTTTACGGAAGTAGGTTGCCCAATCTTCCTTCCGAGGAGTGGCCGGTGGGTTTGAACCTCTGACCTTCTGGCTAGCAGCCAAATGCCTTATCCACTATGCCACCCGTAGGGCCTAAGACATTTGACTGCGAACCAGAAGGCGGGCAGTTCAAACCCACCGGCCACTCCTCAGAAGGATGATGGGGCAATCTACTTCTGTAGTGATACCGTCTTGGAAACCCAAGGAGGGGTGGCTATGAGTTGTCTCCAATTCGATGGCAGTGAGTTTGGTTTTTTGGTTTTGGTTATCAGAATGTTCTCTGTGGGAGTTTTTGAAAAAGCAATTGCTTTCTCCAAAATCAAAACAAACCCACTGCCAGCAAGTCGATTCCGACTCATAGTGATCCCTCATCGAGCTACTGAGGCTGTCAGTCTTTATAGAAGCTGACTGCCCCATCTTTCTTCTGCAGAGCAGCTGGTGGGTTTGAACCACCGACCTTCTGTTCAGCAGCCTGATCCACTGAGCCACCAGAACTCCCTAAGTACTTTCAGTCACTCCGTCTCTCAGTCACTGCTAAGACATAATTTTTGCCTTGAAGGCAGAGAGATGAAGTTTGTGAGGTTTTAGTTTTTCAAACCTACTGGCCTCAAATCAATTGCAACTCTTACAGACCCTATAGGACAGAGCAGAACTGCCCTATAGGGTTTCCAGACCTATGACCTTTATGGAAGCAAACTGCCTCATTGGTCTCCTGCAGAGCAGCTGGTGGGTCCAAACCGCTGACCTTTTGGTTAACAGCTGAGTGCCTTAACCACCGCAGCACGCTATCCCATAAAGATTACACCCTGGGAAAGCCTGTGGGGCAGTTCTACTCTGTCCTCTAGGGGCGGACTCGACTCCCCGACACCCAACAACAGCAAGGGCCGAGAGAGTCCTCCTGAAGGCGTGGCGTGTGACACTGAGGAATATTCTTAAGGAAACAAATGGACTAATGAATGAATATTCTTCCTTGCGTTTTACATCAGGCCAGCTGAAACATTTGAAGAACATTGTTGTCTTTCCATTAAATCAATTAAACAGGCCCTGCTCTGGTAGTGTAGTGCCTAAGGCACTTGACTGCTAACCAGAAGGCTGGCGGTTCAAACCCACCGGCTACTCCTCGGAAGGAAGGCTGGGCAATCTACTTCCATAGTGATACCATCTCGGAAACCCAAGGAGGGGTTGCTGTGGTCAGGTCCAATGTGTCGTTAGGAAGCACTGCTTACTCATGTATCGTCTGGGTATGGTGTAAACCTAGCTCTCAATCCAGTGCCAAACTGTGAAGTAATAGGGTCCAAATTAGCACGGTTCTTTCCTACGTGCATCTTGCAATAGCAAGTTGAATAGGACTTGTCTGCCCTGGGAGGTCACTGAAATAAGGGTTCCCCAGTGCGCCCCAGCGCCCCCTAGTGTCCTGGGACAGAAAACCTTTTTTTTTCAAGCCTAAAGACTGGGCAATCTACTTCCATAGAGATGTTGTTGTTGTTATGAGCTGTGGAGTCGGACCCGACTCATAGCGACCCTTCCTTGGGTTTCCAAGGTGGTATCACTACGGAAGTAGATTGCCCAACCTTCCTTCCGAGGAGTGGCTGGTGGGAACTGCCAGCCTCCTGGTTAGCAGTCAAGTGCCTTAGCCACTAGACGACCAGAGCTCTGCCTCGAAAACCTAAGGAGGGGTTGCTGTGAGTTGGAACCATCTCAGTGGCAATGAGTTGGTTTGTTTGTTTGTTTTAAAGAACTTTGTATTTGATTAAAAGTCTGACTCGCTCCTCTGCCCTATACTGTCACTATGAAAAAATCAAAAAATGAATAAATAAAGCAAGCCTGACTTGGGAGAATTGTCTGTAGTCTGAGGAGGGGGCTTAATGGAGGAGACAGAAGTGACCATGGCCCCTTGGTCCCCTGCCATCCATCTGAGAAAGAGGGAGCCGTGCTGCTCCCTAACACAGCTCCTTCACTATGACCGGGCCTGTGCCTGCCGGGGGCCCACACGGCCCAGGCACTCCATGCCTCGGGACAAAGCCAGAAGTGGAAACGGGTGTTCGAACCAAAGCTTGTGCACAGCGTTCACTGTAGCACTACTCACAGCAGTTAAGAGGCAGAACATCCCCAATGCACACCCATCACACCCTGTGGTCCATCCAGACAGGCTGCTACTCAGCCACATGAAGGGGTGTAGCTCTGAGACACATCAGACGCACCCTGTGCAAGCCTCAGGCTGGTGGGGAAGCCAGTCACAAAGCGCCACCTGTTTGGATCCATGCAAAACCGCACAGCAGACCTATAGACAGCAGGCTGGTGGTTGTCAGGGGACGGGGGACAGGGGACGGGTGACCGCTCCTGCACACAGGCTTCCCTTCGTGGTGGTGAGAATGTTCAGGAACCAGAGATGGTGGTTGGACACCCTGGGAGATGTCCTAAATGCCATTGTTCACTTTAAAATGGTCACAAGGGGAAATGTTAGGTTATGTATATTTTACAACAATTTAAAAAAAAAAAAATGACAAGATGGAGTGGCCCGTCTCAGGCCCAGGGGGCAGGACAAGGAGCCTGGGCCAGGGAGCCCTCATTTCTAGGGGCCACTTCCGGGGCCACCGCCTGAGTGTTTGTGCTCTGACGCTCCCGCAGGTTCTGTCCATGAAGAAGGAGCTGAACCCAGTGGAACTGGATTTCCTCCTGCGGTTCCCCTTCAAGGCGGGGGTGGTCTCGCCCGTGGACTTCCTGTTGAATCAGGGCTGGGGCGGCATCAAGGTTGGTACCAAGGCATCACGAGCCCTTCCTGACAGCGTG